CGGGATTGATGTATCGCCATGAAGGTAAAAAAGAACGACAAGTTTCCCTAAAAGCAAGGCAGGGAACCAAATGATAAACAATGATCTCGTGATTTATTTTGTACTCCGTAGCGTGAATGCTCCAGGGGCAATTACGAGAGAATGCCGTTAAAGCTTTAAGAGTTATTCTAGCTTGCTTGTAGCTCAGCGCCACGAGAATATGCCGCTTGAGGGCAACAACTGTGTGTGTGTCCGCCCAGTGGTGATCAAGGCTGGTTAGTTTGACTTATATACTAGTAGTTTATATTCGTAGATGGCTCGAGTTTGCTTGTTGTGCGCCTATATATCGTATGTGTACTTTCATACCTTGGCTATGCGTAGAAAACCTCTCTCGCACCTTGTTCTTGGTGTCCACCGTGCCAGTGGTGGGCAAGGCGTTCCTCAGAGATAACGCCACAGGTTGGGACCATCTGAGTTGTGAGGTCGGTGAGAGATTTTTTGTTGATGCTGATGTGTTTTGTGAGTGCGTACGGTGACTTCTTGCCAATTTTCGGGAGGCCATAGCGCTGCCGTTTCGGAGTTGGTACGTCGAGTCGTTGCTTGAGACTTTTGGGCACGGCGTAGTCAGATTCTTGATCCCCGCGAGTTGCTTCGCATTGTTGCGTCTCAGTTGTCGAAACGTCGCACAGCGTGGTAGTGATGAATATATGAGCGAGATGATGTTGTTGTTATGCGCATGATAAGCGAGGTTCCGCATTGTCGAAATCACAGCCACGGTGTGGGTGATAGCTCAATCCGTGGATACACGTCCCGACATGTACGGTCGGTCTTGGGGCCTTGGATCGTTTGCAATGCATTAGAAGGGATGCGGGCTCCTTTTCCCTAATGTCTTCTTGGTGCTTGAGCGTTTGAATCTTGTCGTCCAGAAACTCGAGAGCTTGGGAGTTGATGGTCGAGGCTTGCTCGCATCTCTGCGAAGGAGATTGACCGCTCGCTACTGCTGGTTGGCGACGCGCATGCATCCAGCAGAACGAGATTCGACTGAAGAAGCTCGACATGGAGAACATTGAGCTCACGACGCGCTTGAAGATCTGGGAGGGAGCCATCTTGGTCGAGCACCAAGGAAGGGCGACGATCAGGCACAAGATTGAGCAGCTACTCAAGTTGAACGCGAGTGAGGCTGAGATTGCAGCGCTCGTCGAGCAGTACAAGGCGCAGTACAGTGACTATGGCTACAAGCGCGAGGAGACCATCGCGTTTCATTCACAGCGCGTGCGCGACCCCTTTTTGCCGACGCAGGACATCGAGATGTGGCCGCGGGATCTTGACAAGCTCCGTAGGACAACAGCGCCGCTTGGTTGTGGTGATAGGCCGCTGGGTGAGCTCCCTTGCGAAGGTGTGCAGGGCCGCGTCCAGCTTGGGGAAGCTATCCATTCGTGCCAAGCGTGTGTGTTTGCTGACCGCTGCTCGTATCTTGACTGAAAGATGACAGTCTAGGCTGCAGCGGGTTTTTATCGAGTGCTCAGTACATCCAGCGCAGGCGTGCTGGATTCGGTGCGTCTGTCAAAGAAACTGCGGAAGTATTTCATGCAGACGTTTGTATGTTGCTCGACCGCTGCGATGGTGGCAACGTCTATGAGCGCGTTGCTGTGTCCCGGAATGTGGCCTGCCGAGTCGACGATCCAGTGCACTGCCCGCGCCGCCGAAGTGATGGATTGATGTCAATACAACACCGACTGCCGCTGGACAGTGCCACAGACCACGCGAAGTTGCCACGCGAGTGCCGTGGCGGTGATGGCCAGCACCTCGATGTTGACGGTTGAGGTAGCACAGGATCCCGAAATTCTTTTGCCCACTCTTACACCGTGCGTTGTCAGCTTGGTTCACGCAGGCAAACACGACTTCCTCTTCCCCGTCAATCGAGTCGATTGAGCGGTATTGATGGTTAAGACGTGTGTAGGGACGTGATCGGAGTGCGCCACCGAAAAGTCGCGTCCAATACGTCGAGGTCAGCTGGGGCCGGGAATCGGAGCCTGCCCGAACTGGGAATGAGCGAGCACCCAATACAAACTGTGTTGGTCTTGGTATAGGCCATGCGCAGCGGTGGCGCGAAACCAAACACGGCGCAGCGAGTACGGTACGCGCTCCGAATCGTGGTGCGGATCGGCCACGGGCGTGACGCACGTATGCATAACCGCGCGCGCCAATTTTCTCGGCGGGCATAGAGACGACAGACACCAAACTCGAGGTTCCGAGCGAGGCCGCTCGCACAAGAAACTTAACGAATCTTGGATGGGTCGTCTTCTCGATTGACAGCGGTTTGGTTTTCGTGTTACGAGCATGTCAATGTGTAATGCGAGCTCGGTTGCATGGAGCCGAGACAGGACATTGAGCTCAATGGGGGTACGTTTGTCGATGCACACTTGTAGTTGAAGCACCCAAATGGGAGCGAGACCCGAGATGTGCTGGAAATGATGTTGCTCGAAGATATGCCTTGGACATGCCGC